CCTGTACAATGTAAACGCGGCACGGCTCTCATATTTGTATGAATCCTCTGTAGATGCGAGGGAAGCATTGAAAAAGACAGAAAAAGATATAAACACTCGTTTTTACAGGCTAATTGTTGCCACTCCCACACAGATAAGGCTTAAGCACCTTTGATAATTTTATAGCGGTTATTTTTGAAATTCCAGGCGCGCACCCCCGCCCTCTTATGTAAAGGGTCCCCCGGGGGTGCTAATACGTGCAACACACTTGACATTTAGCAAGGACAAATTCTGATGTGATTTTGGCGAAGAGAAACATGTTTTGTCAGCGTCTAGTTGCTAGTGCGGAAGGGCCCTTTACCACCGTGTGCATAATAAAATTACGCGTCCCCCCAGACAGCGGAAAGCCAACAAAATGTTTTAGACATTAGTTCAGAAAATTCCGTCTCTGTCTGAATTTTTGGTATCCTATTGACCAATTCCCAATCGAAACTTAACTCTGACGTCACGCGTAATTTTGCTCACGGTGGTAAGTAGCCTACTTACCGAAGCCAGATTGTACGAATTTTCCAGACATCTTGATTACTATCTGTGATACACGCTTGCCAATTCCCCTAACAGCTTTTGACATCGACTTAACCCTACCTTTACCATGGCCGGACATTTCTTTTGGCACCCTACATCTGCTATTGGAACCACGATTCTACCCAACACCGAGATTTGATCTGTGAGTAGGGCAATTTGTAAAATCATCGCTATCTTTTGGCGTCTCGAAGATGCCGGCACGCGGCAAAACAAGATCAACTTCATTTTCTGGATCTGAAAACTTGCAACTCCGCAAGTGACTTGAAATGTCTTTTTAACAATCACGCGAGGGGAAGACTTGGTCTTCTCGATAACTAAACCCACAAGTTCCACCTGCGAACGATTTAACTAAATAGCAAATCTCCATGTTAGCATGTAAGATGAGACGCTTATAAAACAGATCAGTTAGCGAAATCAGTATGTAGCTTGTCAATCAAATTGACTACTATAACCATACTTTGACTTCAGCCGGCAAAGGAATCATTGATGGATTTGGACATTTTAGTTTTCTGAATGCAGTAATTCCTCAAAGGTTTTTCTAGATGTCATGCAAAGAGGAAAAAAACCCATCTCTTGGTATTTCGGAGGTTGACTCATCTTTAAATTACTGTGTCACGCTTGTCACGCAACTGATATAATAAGTTAGAGAAGATATATAAACTGGAACTCAAATCTGGCTAGAACGTGGTAGAGCATAACTAACGTGATCGTCGAAACAGCTAATAAAATCATAAATAAACAAGGCTAGAGTGTTATGTTAGATTTTTTTGCAAATTGTGATGATTTATGCCAGTTAACGGTGGCGACAAGTAGGCGCACCATGTATATTTCATAGTCGCTATCAAGTAAATTTTGCCGGACTTTGAGTTCGTCTCAAGATAGAACAACACAAATACACAAGGAAATTTTTACAGTAACTTTATAACCATCCTTTTGTCTTATAAAAGTTTGAAGCTCAGTAGATTGTGTCATATCGGTTATTGTTAAAACTGTCTTTGTTTTGATGCTAATTTTCGACATAGCAGTCGACATAGAGTCGCTACTTTCGTGGCATCAGCGTGAAGGGTGTCGCAGAGTAAAATCCGATGCTTGCGAGAAGCTGTGAATCCGGCTTTCAAATCCG